TAAACTCCATCAATGAATGAAACTATTTAGACTTGAGTTGGATTTAATGTTTTCCTTTCTTGTTGACATGTTGTATTGTCGTTTCAATAGGTGTGCTTTCTTATCAATAATTCAGAAACGTTTTCCAAATCTATGTAACATATAACAATGACCATGCACGATCGTTTTATTGTTATATCGGTTAAATAGATACCATCAAATATGAGATAAACGATCAACAATGGACAGTAGCAACAATAAATAGCAACGGCAACCAAATGGAAACCAAAATAAAACAAATATATGATGTAAACCTTTTTTTCATAGTGTGAACATAACATGGCAAAGAAAAATTCAGTTATAAATCTAAAACAAGAATTTGTAACAGAGTTACCAACGTCCCCCGTCTCAGGGAAGTTTTATATGAAGCGTAAAATTGTGCTATTTCAAAATTTTGAGGTATGAATTTCAGGACGTTCAGTCCGAAATTATGATCAATACTAGATCTGCAAATGCAACAATAAATTTATTAAAGAAATACTAGAAAAATGAAGCACAGAATTTAAAATTCTATCATGTTAACCTTTGACCTCATAGTGCGACCTTGAACTTAAAGGTAAGGATGCAGGTGTTGTGCATGACATATTGTCTTATTAATATTACTATTTGTGCCAAGTATTTTCAAAATCCCTTTAACTATGTAGAAGTTATAGATCAGACACAAAATATACCCTATACAAGATTATGTCAATCTTTGACCTTTAAGTGTGACCTTGGAGGTAGGGATGCAGGTGTTGCGCAAGACATATTGTCTTATTACAGTGACTATTTGTGGCAAGTATTTACAAAATCGTTTGATCTATGAAAAAGTTATGGACTGGACACAAAATATACCCGGTAAAAGACTATGTCAATCTTTGACCACCAAGTGTGACCTTGACCTTGGAGGTAGATGGCCGATTGTTGCGCGCGACACATCGTCACATTATTGTGAAAAATTGTGGCAAGTATTTACAAAATCCCTTCAAAGATAAGAAAGTTATGGATCGGACACGACATATACCATCAAATTGACAATGTTGACCTTGAATGAGCAAGTGCGACCTTGACCATGGAGGTAGGGGTCTGGTTGTTGTGCATGACACATCTTCTTATTAATATTACTATTTGTGCCAAGTATTGTCAAAGTCCCTTTAATATGTAGAAGTTATAGATCAGACACAAAATATACCCTTAAACAGACTATGTTAACTTTTGACCTTTAAGTGTGACCTTGAACTTGGAGGTAGGGATGCAGGTTTTGCGCAAGACATATTGTCTTATTATAGAAACTATTTGTGGCAAGTAATTACAAAATCCTTTGAGCTATAAAAAAGTTATGGACTGGACACAAAATATACCCTGTAAAAGACTATGTTAATCTTTGACCTCCAAGTGTGACCTTGACTTTGGAGGTAGGTGACCGGTTGTTGCGCATGATACATTGTCTCATTATTGTAAAAAATTGTGGCAAGTATTTACAAAATCCCTTTAAAGATAAGAAAGTTATGGAAAGGACACAACATATACAATCAAATAGACAATGTTGACCTTGAATGATCAAGTGCGACCTCGACGCTTGAGGTAAGGGTCTGGTTGATGCGCATGATACATTGTCTTATTATAACAAACATTTGTGCCAAGTTATTTCAGATTCCTTTGATAAATGAAAAAGTTATGGACTGGACACAAAATATACCCTGTAATAGACTATGTTAATCTTTGACCTCCAAGTGTGACCCTAACCTTGGAGGTAGGTGACCGGTTGTTGCGCATGACACATTGTCTCATTATTGTAAACAATTGTGGCAAGTATTTACAAAATCCCTTCAAAGATAAGAATGTTATGGACCGGACACGACATATACCATCAAATAGACAATGTTGACCTTGAATGAGCAAGTGCGACCTTGACCCTGGAAGTAGGGGTCTGGTTGTTGCGAATGACACATTGTCGTATTATAACAAACATTTGTGCCAAGTTATGTTAGATTTCTTTGATAAATGAATAAGTTCAAAAATACGAAAGTTATGGACCGGACACAACATATACCATGTTGACCTTGAATGAGCAAGTGCAACCATGACCCTGCAGCTAGGGGTCTGGTTGATGCGCATGACACATCTTCGTATTATAACAAACATTTGTGCCAAGTTATGTTAGATTTCTTTGATAAATGAATAAGTTCAAAAATACGAAAGTTATGGACCGGACACAACATATACCATGTTGACCTTGAATGAGCAAGTGCAACCATGACCCTGCAGCTAGGGGTCTGGTTGATGCGCATGACACATCTTCGTATTATAACAAACATTTGTGCCAAGTTATGTTAGATTTCTTTGATAAATGAATAAGTTCAAAAATACGAAAGTTATGGACCGGACACAACATATACCATGTTGACCTTGAATGAGCAAGTGCAACCATGACCCTGCAGCTAGGGGTCTGGTTGATGCGCATGACACATCTTCGTATTATAACAAACATTTGTGCCAAGTTATTTCAGATTCTTTTGATAAATGAGGTTATGGACTGGACACAAAATATACCCAGACGGACGGAGCCTATTACTATATCCCCCTTTTTTCTTCCAAAAGGCGGGGGACAATAAGATGCCAGTGTAAAATATCAATGCCTTCTACAAGCTGGGAAGATATCACTGGAATTTCTTCTACTCTTATGACATACTCACATATTTAGAGAGTTGACAGAATCATGCTGTAGATAACATTATGAAACTACAATAGAACTATATCATAAGTATTAAGCTAAAATAATATGGCTCATAAGGAGAATGTAAATTATATCTGATTTGCAAAGAAACAAACTAATTTTGGGATACAGTTGTGGTATAGCAATACGAATGTTAAATGCAGTTGACCCTCAATAAGTCAAAATCGCCTCACTCAAAATTTCCAAAAGTCGAAGAATTTCTAAATTCCCGTCAAATTTCCTTCTTTATCTTTGTACTTTTACTCCGTCCAACATATTGTGTGAAATTCCTAGTCCTTCAAACTCGAGTTACCGAATTCAATTGTATTGCAAAAATCTGGAAACAAAATGATCCCTCGGAAACATAATAATAAGGATCAATTTGCTAAGCGGCATATCTAATTAATTGTGGACTCCAAAATGACATATACATTCATATACATTCTATTTCAAGTCCACTTTCCTAACTAGGTATCGAACAATAAATAATAAATCTATAAGAAACAAGAAGTATCTTTAAAAAGATACTCGGCCAAAGTCAAACTTGTTATCTGGCATAGGATAAGCTACTACTAACCATGCTTACCGCAAACAGAACATTTTATTCGTCCTCAATAGTTTTATTTCAGTTCATATTAACCGCAAAGTTTTCCCCCATTAATTGTCATTTTAGATTAAAATACTACTGCTTACATTACTAGTATTTGATTTTAATCAAAATGGAATTTGATTTGAATAAGCATTTATAATAAAACAAAGATTTAGTAGATACTGTACACTAATTCCACGGAGAATTTTGGGACTGTAAATTAGTCGAAAGTTCGTTTCATTCGTCTTATGCCAGGTTCGAGAAGAGAATATAATGACTAGAACCGCTTAGATGAGAAAGTTAAGGTATCAAAAAGGCAATCTGTCATATTTAATTTCATATATTTATTGAAAGGTTGTTAGAAATATCTAGAAAATATCATTTGTGTGTTTTTATATTTTTTCTGACTTATATCTTTTCCCAACACTTCTTGCCATCGCGCAATCAAACAAACCTCTACCTGAACGAAAGCTCTTCTAAAGTATCAATCGAGCAGGCTATTAGTGTTAGAATGAAAATTCTGCCTATATTCTTTAATTTACTGTTAATTTTAGTGGAAGTCAAGGTGAAATCAGACGGCCTTTGGCCGGAAAACAATGCAAACATTTTGAGTTTTCTATTTCGATTTTCATCTTGATTGTGATGCGGGGCCTTGTCTTTTATATACACTTTCTTTGATACTTTATTTTTGTACTTATTTGTTACGTTATACAATTTATATTGTCATTGCTTTAAAAACATCAATTATATTATGGCGTCTTGTGTACTTGATATTTATTTTCGGCCAAAGTATCCTCAATATTATCCTCTGTAATACAATGACGCAGCTGCTTGTATACAAAATCGTCACTAAAAAAACTTACTTTTAATGGATTTATAAAAATATTTGTCATTATATATCATTGTAAAATAAGCGCGCACGGTGTTGAAATATTAAGTGTTTTGTTGTTATTCTTTTCCAGTATAATAAGCGATTTATATTTTTATCATTTATTGAATAAATAACACAACATATACAAATTAATTATATTACGTTTATTAAAAATGACTCCACTTAAGTTTTAAGATATTAAAGGAAAGAATGTGAATAGTTTGATGGACATTCGGACTAATAACTTGGACATAACATATCTGACCATTAACACTTTGCTTGAAATTTTCCAAAAATATTTTTGCTAATTTAGAAAAATGTGCTTAACAAAATTCTTTATATCTTACTTTATGTTTGAACTTTAAATGAAATACAATATAAAAAAATGGTAGACAACACATGAATTAAGCGGTAAGCCGTTATAGCCTTCTTCCACTCCGAATTATTCAGTAGCCATTGTGCCAGACATTCCAGTTCATTCTTACAGCCTGTGTTGTTATAGCCCTTGTACAAATCTCTGAACTTTTAATGAAATGATCATTTATGTTTTACAAATGAGAGTTAAATCATAAAACAAATAATTCAGTCTTATTCCTTCCAAATGTGTATACTGTTGAAATTGGTGCACTTGTATTTTTACTGCTCCAGATTGCCATTTGAATTGAATTATTAATTAACTGAAACGACAAACAAATGAATAAACATATTCGTTATTTTTTGTTTTTTTTTCTCGAAAATTTAAACTGTCTACATATTAATTTCAATTTAATATTCAAGATCCATGAAAATTATTGCAGATAACTAACTTGCAAAACCAAATACTTGTACTTCACAAAGATGTAGGTACTGTTGTCTTCTAAGCATCACTTGAACATATCGTGCTTCTTTACTTTCAGGGAAGTTAAACGTATGGATGTCCTCAATCTGACCATCGACTTGCCTCACAATGTACATATTGTCCTCCGTCGTCCCAAACATCAAATCCAAATCTGAAGCTCGTTCCCCTGTAAGTTACCAGATTATTTTGGACAATGTAGGCGCAAACTTTTGAAAATTATGTGTATATTTATTCAACGGATTTCATGATTATTCTATGCTAGAATTGACGTGATTATAGACTGCTCATTGAAGGGATCAAGTTATTTTACAGGTAAACAAAAATGATATGAAAAAATATAAGTAACCTAGGCGATTATCCAAGCGGTTGTACAACACTACTCTAAAGCAGCGATAAATCTTTCCAAGATCTACCCGCCACCACGAATGAAGGTCACTATTTGTATGAAAGCAGGAGCGACCTGACCATAATTGATTTGAATTGCCGTCTACACCCATTGACCCATTGTAGCCGTGGTAAACGCTAGACATGTATGTCCTCCCCCCAATAGCAACATTTGTCACATCGGCTAAATAGATCAAAATATTAAGAAAAAATGAATATTGCCGTTTATTGAAATGATACAAAACATTTAATCAACGGATCTTTAGCTTTCTATAGATTTCAGCTTTCTATAGCTGACATTCCGTTATTTGTGTTATTTGAATAGCTTCAAACGGGAGCTCTATAAATAAGAAATTCAAATATGTGTTACACTTTTTAATAATTGCAAAAGTGTTTTATATTTGAAAGGTAATATAATATTTATAATTATAAATAGTTATATTATCCTTTGAATCTTTAAAAACACTCGAAAATTACCAATTGTATAAATCTACATACTTGAGCATTGATTGTCGGTTATATTCCAGATTCCATCAGAGAGGCATTCTATTTCATCAATAATCGTGTTTCCATCGTTACATGTAAATTGCATACGATTCCCAACTGTTCTTATGTTTCCACTGACAATACCATATTCCAGATCTTTGACAGGACACTCTGTTATATAAAGAATAAGGTTTTAATATAAAGTAATTTTTTTAACAAGTGGCTATTTGCTTATAATTATTACTTAAGAATTACTGTGAATAATTGTCTGAGTCTCGCCCCTCTGGACTTGCAATTAACAATATCGGACTTGCTGCGCTCAATGGACTTCCCCCCTCTCCTATTTTTTTACCCCCAGCCCATCTTTTCACCCTTACAGCCCTTTCCTTTTAATTCCCTTATGAGCCCGTTTTAGTTAATATTATTTCACAGAACATGTCCCACCCATGTTTTCACCCTTATGTCCACTCCAGGTTTTTTCTGTGCCTTCTGTGTGTCCTTCTTGAGTGTGTCGGGGGCCGCGTCCTGTGAACGTTGCCTTCGCCTTGTTGATCGTTATTCTTGTTTTTTTGTTGTTGCGTTCTTAGCATTAGCTGCACTGTCTGGAAGCCACAATCTAGACTTCTATGCTATTTGGACTTGTTGCAGTATTGGATTAACTTCCGAATATAGACTGTTTGACAACATAGATTTGCTGTGTTCGTTTGACCTACTTAGCATCCCCTGGACAACCTAGACTTGTTGCAGTATTGTAACCCAATTTATATTCGCGAATACAAATTTTCGCGTTTTGCCGAGGTCGGACATATTCGCGAATATTAATTTCCGCGTTTTCTTGATTTCCGAAAAAAAATATTCGCGGATTGGAAAGTCCGATGGGGTCCGATTCAACATCTTATTTTCAAAACATATTTATATTCTGTACCCACAGTTTATCTAGAAAAGTCTTTAAGAAATTCAATTTAAGCGTTTCATAAAAAAATACCTTCTCCAATCAGGGATCGAATCCACGTCGAGAAAATTATGTTATATGAGTCCGCAATCTAACCAACTGAGCTATACATGCTGTTAAATTTGACGGGTAAAAATCGATACTAGTATGAAACCATCTTGTATTTCACTGTTTGTAATTATGTACACCCACTACCCTTTTGTGATGCTCGATAGGTATATACCACCTTTGTCTTAACAATTCACTCAAACAATTATTTTATAGGATCCAAAAAACAATAGCCCTTTGTGATGCTCGATAGTTTTCCCACTTTTGTCAAACGATTTATTCAAACATTTATTTTATAGGGTCCAAACAGGTCGAGGTCACTGGACTTGAGGTCAAAAGGCAAATTACTGCACTTCTCACTAAAAGTACTTCTGTACTAAAAGCGGTATTCTACTGCCTCCACAACTTACCCTATACGGAACGTGATTGACAATAGGCCTGCTAGTATTTCATAAACTGTATTAAAATGTAGATGTTTATTTTGATTGCTATATTGACATAGAGTTCTTTTGATATTTATAAAATGGTAGTAGTTTACTTAGTTTGTGTTTTTATTGCTTTATGGCAATCAATTCATAACAATTCATTACTTCCTAACAGGTGCCCGTAAAATTCGAATATATCCGGTCAAGTAGCTTTGCATGAACAACGTCTAAAAAAAAAATCTCCAATTTATTCGCGAAATCGTGCGGACTTATTCGCGCAAACAAATATTCGCGCTTCGTGGCCATCCGCGAAAAAAGCGAATATTAATTGGTCGCGAATATTCGTTGGGTTACAGTATAAGATTTAATGTACATAGACTTGCTGCAAAGCCACGACTTGCTGTGCAACGTATTTTTGCTGGGCTACTTTGTCTTGCTGTGCAACCTTTACGGCCTCTCCTAAGACTTTTTCTCTCTTCCTGTACATCTGTTAGAGTTGATTCTTTTCAGGGAAACAAATTTGCAAGCAATAATGCTGGGAAGCGGAGTTGTTAAGGCTCAACTCATACTCGAAATCAAAGCGTTTTGATTTTTGCTTCCTGCATCTGACGGGTAATTTGTCATTAAAAAAGTTTTTTTTTCTGAAAAAAAAAGAGCTTTCTGATAATATTGAGTCAGAAATGTTATATTTTTAAACGATGAAGATAGTTTAACGTGACGTAAATGTTGTGTCTGACGAACTTCTTGTTCTAATTTTTTAGTTGGGTGATTTTATTATTCTAAAATCTAAATACTTTATTTTGTGAAAATAGTTGTGCACTTTTTAAATTGCTGCTAATGTGTATTTCCGCGGAAAAGTTACTTGTGACGAATATGCAAACATTTTTTTAGCTCAACCGCTTATGGTGTACTATGATGTTGTATGCACAGCCTTTACCTATGCTTTAATTATTAACATTTTTAGGTTAACTTTCCCATTGCAAAATGGTCGTACTGTTTTAAAGTATCGTAGAATTAATCAATTATTTACAGATGTAAAAATACATAAAACGCATTATTTACAGTTTGAATAAAGACTGACTGTAAGTTTACTCCACAATCAATAAGGTGTTCTGGTATAGTTATTCTGAAACGGCAATACTTTTATATGGAAATAGCATGGCTTGGGGCGGCCTCCAGGGTGTTTCTGTACAGAAAATAATTAAGACCGTAAGGTAGTCGCTATGATTGCTAGAATTGCCTGATAGTTTGTCTCCACGAAAATCCATCCAGTTTCCAGGATAAAACACTATTTAACCACCCTTAAAATAATCATGTGTGCTTTTTGATTTTTTTTGTAATTTATTTATGATTTGCAGGCTTCCTCTGATCCCCTTTCAAGATTCAATTTAAGTTGGTTTTACCCATTGTTTTTCCCGTTAAGGACAGACGTATTTTATAACTTTGGGAGCAACTTCCGCTTTTCATGGACTAGCACGAACGTAACGCATTGCACATTCCGTTATATTCACCGAACGTTGCTAAATTCAAAATTTTACCACTTAAAATAAAATGTTCGCTCTAAGCCGGCACAAGTGGCATGGCGGCATGGCTTGCAGTTTATTGTATCGTCAATGTACCAGTTTTATTAAACCTAGCTTGCAACTTAGGGATTAGGGATTTCCTATTTCCCTCTATTTATGAACCACATCAGTGTTGTTTGTGGATAAGAAATTATTCATTCATTCATACCTACCTCTAACTGACAATGAGGCGCTTACATGGGCTATTGCACTCTTTTGGGGCCTCCGAGAAGTGAAAATTGATATAAACAATGAAAACGCGACCTATTTTTATTTTTGTTTTGTTACCTTTACAGGAAGGCAAACACATAAAGGAAGGAAAACTTTTATTCAACTATTAAAATCCTAAAATGCTTGAAATATGTTTCAATGATTGTCGCATTTCGACTGCTGGTATTATTTTGTGCCCATTGGCAACATATTTAACCTCTATACACGCATGAATAACGTGTCTCATAGTGCGTGATGCCTCTTCTGACTGCAGGGTTGCCGTATATGGTTGATATTTATAAATTGCAGCCACCGTTGATTGTGATGGGCGATTTAATACGTTCCAAATACTGGAGTCTATGCATCTCTTAGCTCAAGCAGGTGAGGTGGTTTTGATAGCTGGTGTTGCTTTGAAGATTGCATCACTCGAGGCTAGTTAAAATCTTCCATTATGAGTCGGCGTGACCTAAACTGTGTTTGTGCGCCAAACCAAACAAACAAACCAACAGATAGTGAATCACAAAGGACTCAACAAATTCTGCTTGTATCCTATTTTTTATAACTGAAATAAGTTACCTTAATTGATAAGGTAAAAATCGACAGGGGCCTTTTCGAAGTGCAATTATCTTCTTTTCGATTTTTTATTTATTAAGTATATGGCATTTGCTCAACATAGACCATGTTTACAAATCTGAATTTTTTAATACGCTGGTGAAGAAATGATAATTTCGAGACATTGCCTTGCCTTGCCAATAATAAACGTTTAATTGTGTGTTACAGCATACCAGAAAAAACACTGTACAATGTCACATAACATGGCACTGATATGACAGCAATTTATGGAAATTAATAAGTGTTAATAATAAAATAAAGAATAATAATTTATTAAACGAGTTGCATGATATCGTTTTATTCAACGCGATCAATAAATTTAGTACTGAATTTACACGAATATAATATTCTATTGATCACATGTCCAAAATAAGAACGGTTAACAATTTAAAAAAAGCCATTCTTCGTTGATGCAGCTATAATGTAACGTTAACATTAGACTGCTTTAAAGCTATGTTTGTATAGAAGGCAAGTGACGTAACGTCACAATATTATTACGCTAGATTAATATTACTTTTATCCAATGGCTTTATTTCATTCCTATATATAAATATGAAAAGTACTTTATCACATACCCGTGTCGGTCTTGCGACTATGTAAAATGGTTTTGCATGAGAACACCGATTTCCCCATGCATATATTTTGACATGGCGTCATTTGCGCTACAATAGCACAGCATTTTGGTGCGCTAACTGATAAAATTACAATGTGTCAGTAAAACTGTGATACTGTAGTAGTTCTATTTTTTGGTAATTTGATAAAAAAAGTAAATACGGAATCCCTAAAAAAAGCCCAACACGGCAAAATTGAAAATGTTGCAGGCTCGGTTTGATTGAGCCTGTTCATGGACGGAAATGGAAAGTGCAAGTTACCGTCCACGCCCCCTAGCACCGGCTTAAGCAGAATTCAACATTTAAACATGAAATAGTAAAATTTTGAATTTAGAAACATCCGCAGATGTGTTCATACGGCGGTTATCATGGAACCTTCAATGTGACACTTCCGTACCATTCCATGAAAAGCGGCGTATGGTCCCCAAGTAATAAAAAGCTTGTGCCCTAAACGAGAAAACAATGGGCGGAACTAAATAAAATGGAATTTTGAAAGGGGATCAGAGGTTATGAAGCCTGCGTATCACAGATAAGACGTCAAAAAGACAAATTTAAAAAGCAGGCAACATATCCTAAGGGTGATTCAACATTATTCAAGTAGGAATATTGGAACCACCCAACTAGAAAATGCCGAAAAGGTGAAACTAAAAATACAACAAGCACAACAATAATGTCGTGCTGAACGATCTTCAAGGATCGAAAATATAACATCATTGATTAAATGTACGGGGAGACTTTTTACAGCCGCCACACGGCACAAATAACACGAATGTGATCATAAAATAGATAAATACGGAATCCCTAAAGAAAGCCCAACACGGCAAAATTGAAAATGTTGCAGGCTCGGTTTGATTGAGCCTGTTCATGGACGGTAATGGAAAGTGCAAGTTACCGTCCACGCCCCCTATCACCGGCTTAAGCAGAATTCAACATTTAAACATGAAATAGTAAAATTTTGAATTTAGAAACATCCGCAGATGTGTTCATACGGCGGTCATCATGGAACCTTCAATGTGACACTTCCGTAACAATGGGCAGAACTAAATAAAATGGAATTTTGAAAGGAGATCAGAGGTTATGAAGCCTGCGTATCACAGATAAGACGTCAAAAAGACAAATTTAAAAAGCAGGCAACATATCCTAAGGGTGATTCAACATTATTCAAGTAGGAATATTGGAACCACCCAACTAGAAAATGCCGAAAAGTTGAAACTAAAAATACCACAAGCACAACAATAATGTCGTGCTGAACGATCTTCAAGGATCGAAAATATAACATCATTGATTAAATGTACGGGGAGACTTTTTACAGCCGCCACACGGCACAAATAACACGGATGTGATCATAAAATAGATAAATACGGAATCCCTAAAGAAAGCCCAACACGGCAAAATTGAAAATGTTGCAGGCTCGGTTTGATTGAGCCTGTTCATGGACGGTAATGGAAAGTGCAAGTTACCGTCCACGCCCCCTAGCACCGGCTTAAGCAGAATTCAACATTTAAACATGAAATAGTAAAACTTTGAATTTAGAAACATCCGCAGATGTGTTCATACGGCGGTTATCATGGAACCTTCAATGTGACACGTAAGTGCCATTCCATGAAAAGCGGCGTATGGTCCCCAAGTTATAAAAAGCGTGTGCCCTAAACGAGAAAACAATGGGCGGAACTAAATAAAATGGAATTTTGAAAGGGGAAGACTGCATCAGCCTCATTACTAGATTCATTGAACTCATTGGCAAACATTAACTTTCAATTATCTCGATAAATAAAATAAGTATTGAACAATAATTTATCTAATATCCTCTATACATGTAACATATTCAGTAGTAACAGAGTTTATAATTTTACACAATATTAAAAAAAGGTATTACCTGTGATTTCACATTTCCCTTTTGCAGGATTACATCTCTGACCAGAAGTACACTCTGGACAAGGTTTCTGTTGAAAGATATTATATATTTTGTTTTATGCTTTTGAGTGGATTACTGATTTATCAATGAAAATTATATTAGATAATTTCATAGTGAACATTATTTAAATATTAATTATAGTTTCACACAGTTCAATGACGAGACTAATTTTTAAAAAAATTACCCATTTGATACCCCAGTTTAAATTTTACTGACAATTCTGACATTGTCAGGGCTGTTTTAGAGAAAAGCATATAAGTTATAAAAAATCATTCAAATTACCTATCACCAAATATTGTCTCAAAATTTTTTGTTTCATTTTTACAGTCTGAAAGATACACTTTCTTTCAAATGCAAAACTTCTTTTGGTGACATTTTGGCATATTTAAGTATAAAGTAAAGTATTAAAGTATTCAAGCAATAACTGTCTCATGCAATACGGAAACTTGAAAAGCAATGCCAGTCATCAGCCCGAAGAATAAGTAAACAACCCAGCGTTCGTAAGACATTCCTAGCCGCTTTTTAATGTTTACACATCTGTCAACAATTATTTATAGTATGTAACAATCCTCAAATATTTTTCCTTCTTATAAAAACATGTATGACTAACAAATTCAAATGATATCCCTCCGAATCAATCACAATTATTTTCCTCCCGTGAAATACATAATTTTTTAAAAAATGGCAGCCGCTTAAATTACTCAAAGCCTGGTCTAATATAAATTCGCTGTAAGAAACGGAAATAATGTCGGATGATGTCACCATTTCTTCAACTAGAATTGTTTGTTTTTATTATAAAAACAAGCGATCATTCATGTTTTCTGGAATAAAATAAATAAAATTATCGCCATTTAACGTTAATTGTCGAACTTATTTTCAGCTCAAGGCGAATTCAACTAAAAATGAGGCTACTAGTGGGGAAAACAGATTGTGATATTGAAATTTATATTAAGGAAATTTCATTTAAACTTGTTCTTCAGCATACAATGAAAAAAATAATTTGTTTGTTTGTTGTATGAGCTGTAATTTCATCTCGTGAACTTTAAAAACAGTATTCTAACTCGTGGCTATGTTGCTCGTGAGAACTCTGTTTTTAAAGCCCATTCGATTAATTATAGAACATTATTATTCAAAATATAGATTATATATGAAAAGTTATATGATAAAAGAAACATTGTAAATTTAATGTTGTAGTTTGTAATTAATAGGATCATATTTATATAATGTGCTTCAATCATGAGTACCTGACCTAGACAAATGTTTTCCAGTCAAAAACAAGTGTTCAATCTATTTATCCCTTTGTCTTATAAAAATCAACAATGACGTACAGGAAATTTTAACCAATAACCTGACTGCATTGAACAAAAGACAGATGCATGAGAACTTCTTATTTAGTTCCACATTATTGCGAAGCTCTTTCGTATTTAAACGAAACTAAATAGATAAATATGTTTGTTTAAATCAAAATCAAAATGATTTCACATATTTGTGTCATTTATAATATCATTTTATATTATGTAACAGAAGTAGGAATATGGAAATATTTACCCTTTTGACAATAATATCCGCTACCCGAATCTCCACACAACTTCCTTTAATTCTATCACTTTCGTGTCCGTCTGAAGAGTATAGATTGCATTTCTTGAAAAATTTCATGTAGCTCAAAGCTTCACAGTCCGGCCTCATTCCACATTCCATAACACATTCCGGGAGTGCAATACTTTCTAAAGTGACTATTATGTCCATTTCTCCTCGGCATTCACGTTTAAACTTGGTAGAATATTGTAGTTCTACGCCATCCTTACTTAAATATGTAAAACCAAAAACAGTTTGAGAACAAAATAAGAATAGCAAAATATGATTGACATTGAATAGTATCATTATAGTTGTAATTTAATTTGATGGTATTTTAATCACTGAGACACATTATTCTTTTGCATTCCAACTATTCAAAAGTGTTGAACGTTAATACAGTCCGGCGGTTTAATCATAATACGCGTATAAATTTACTATTTAGCCTTGCAATGTTTCTATCTTTTAATCAACTTCATCCTATCAAAGGCAGCAAATAAAATATATATTTCAAACACAATGCAATGACATATGACAAAAATCAGCAGCAGAACGGTTTGAATGAACATTGAAAGCGAGAATTCTTCATAAAATATATAAATATATACATAAATAATTCACATTCACTGAATTTCGGATAATTGTTGAAACAATCGGCTTGACTGTAGAAATCGATAATTCTGTCTGACCTAAAAAACGTGTTAAGGTTTAGTTTTATACAGATGGAATCAAAAAAAAATAATTAAAGCTTTTTTAACGATATCGTTATATCCTGTTTTATATATGAGATCCACACAAGGAATCGACTTTTTTTCCTTGTGTGGATCTTGTTTTAAGCAATTAATATCAACTTTACTAAATGGAAAAAGGATCATGTGGTCCCTTTGATTGATATAATACCGTTATATTATATACAAGTTTGATATAATGAAAGAAACGAACACAAACTATCAAACGGTGGAAAATAATTGATCAAAGTTGCAAGTCTTGTAATGGATGTATGTAAAATATAACATACTCGTTTACGTGTACGCATTTAAACAGGAATTAGTTCTAGCATTTCTTTGATTATCCAAGGTAGCATTTCTTTGATTATCCAAGGGACAACTTCAATCGTTATACTATGAAAGACTTCACTATAGATAATTGAATAAATCATGTGTTTTAAATTTCTAGTTCTTCAGTCAAACACTCAGCTAGAGTGTATAACGGTACTTTCTTTATAACAAAAATGTACCCATTTACTTTTCTACAATTCCATTTGATACAAAAATATATAGATAACATTAATCATTATAAATAATACTTACAGAATATTGCATCAAATCATAATAACTTAGTCACAAAAGACCGTCTGTTAAATTGTCACAAGTAACGTACTTGATTCAAATATTTTCCATTGAAGTATTAAATATGCGCTTTGCAATTGCCTTTTAAAGGATTACAAACCCATATGAAAATACTAAATTTAGAATCATTTGGTTTGCTTATGACTTTTTTTTTAAAACTTTATTGGGAGTGCAGGGGTAACACGCTCATTTGAGATGTGAGAGGTCAGGGGTTCAAATCCCAGTGAAGGTCACTGATTTTTGAACATATTTTAACATATTTTCTTAAGGAATTACCCACGGTTTGTAAAAACAAAGTATGGCATGGCTGTTACATGTATAAACAAATTGACATAAATGATGTTTCAATGCAAGTTAAAAACTCTAGCCATGCTAAACTATTATAGCAAAAATCTAGATGGTAATTGTTAAATATTGTTTAGACACGTTTAAAACAATGTTTTCAAGTTATAGTCATAATTGAACGATCAGTAGTTCACATTTAACTTCCGATAAGCATACAGTCGAAGCGGTTATCCCCCATTTACGTCACATCCGGTAAGGGAGGTTACTCTTAATTGCCGCTTTTTGCTCTAATGAAAGGGTTTTTATATGAAGATATTTTTTATTTAAGTTAACATACGAACACTGGTTTTAATTAGTTGTTTGAAAGATATGTCATGCTTGAGCCTGTTAAAACGAGAGTTTATTTTAAGAGCATGCATTTATTGTAAACAAATAATGTAAAACACAATGAATACTTGTAAATTACAGTCACTTTGAAAATTCAAAGATAGGGTGTGACACTAAAAATATTAATAAAAATAGGATGGTGAAATGTTCTAATATTTGAAAAATAAATGTTGTATACTATCTAGGTTGGAAAAAAGTTATGAAAAACTTATGAATAATTAGGGTCGGTAAACCTTTAACTTTTTTTAATATCTGTAACAGATTTAACACTTGATATGTATGGAGCCCCTAAGGTGACATTTTCCACATTTTTTTCCTCGGAACTTAATCCCTTTTTACGAAATATTAATTCGTCATTACGATATATTATTTCGGTATTACGAAATATTAATTCGGTTTTACGAAATATTTATTCGTTTTTACGAAATACTTCTTTGTTTTTACGAAATATTAATTCGTAACTACGAAATAAGAAATATTAATTCGTAATTACGAAATATTTTTCGTTTTTACGAAATATTATTTTGTATTACGAAATAATAATTCGTAAATACGAAATGATATTTCGTAAAAACGAACTAAATTTTTTTCTAGGGTTTAAACAAGTTTTTGTAATATTTATTAATAAGGCCGCGAAAATAAGTTCCTGACTGAATATAAGGCATTTTGAATGAAATATAAATAGTGATTTTTTTCTCCCCAAGTTTTATAACTTAACACTATTGTATATAAATTAAAATAATCGCGTTGCCGCAACAGCCGTGATAGTACACGCGCTAGCAAAATTTTGTTGGGGTCTTGTCCTTCAAATCCAAACACGGACATTTTTTTTCTGTTTCGTTTAGTCGTAATTATTGTGTTTTGAAATAAAATGTTATGTTTTTATGATCGCACATAACTTATAAGGACATATACGTAAATTGATTAGATAAGTGAAAGTCTGGAGCCCTCTTGCCCCTTTAGTTTGACTAATGTATATGATAAGAGAAAGTAATAATATAGCATGTTTCTTTTTCAATGAAACATGTCAGAAAAGATTAATTGTGTCAAAAATTAAAAACATTGCTGATAGGAACATGTATATGACAATGGGGAAAAAGAGGCCATTTTGGATAGAGAATGACTTCTCACTAAAAACCCTATTCACCTAAATATAATAACTTGAGAACCATCCTGCATATAATCGCAAGGTTGATCCAGGCTCGAAATTATCCCTTTGTTAGATTAGTAGGTTCTTTGTCAAGCTCACAATGACCTTAAAATAAGATTTCTGAAAGAGGAATTATTATTTCGTAATTACGAAATAATTTGTCGTAAAACGATATATTATTAACTCGTTTTTACGAAATATTAATTCTTTTTTACGAAAAATCATTTTCTAATTACGAAATATTATTTCGTTTTTACAATATATCAATTGGTTTTACGAAATATTTATTCGTAATTACGAAATATTAATTCGTAATTACGAAACATTTAATCGTGTATACGATATATTAATTCGTTTTTACTAATCTAATCAATTTAAAAAAGTAAAAACAAATTACTTTTTTTTAAAAAAACCAACGAATTAATATTTTGTAATTACAAAATAATTGTTCGTAAAAAGGAATAAATTTTTCGTAAAAACGAAGGTTTATTTAGTTAAAAAGTAAAAACGAATTAGTATTCTGAAATAACGAATAAATATTTCGTAAAAACGAATAAATTGCCGAAGAAAAAGTGTCGAAAATGTCACCTTATGGGCTCCGTAGATATAAGCAACATTTTGCAATAAACAATTTTCAATAGATAATTTTAGTTTAAAAGCATGCCTTTTTTGAAAAACGATTGATTGGCATTTAGAACTTCCCAACTATTCTCATATATTTCAAACCAATATTTGTTATGTCTTAGAATTTCTTTATTTTATTGTTCATGTTAACTATCTGAAACAGTTAATGTTTCATGCACAAGGAATGCACAAAAGGATTGTATAAATCATTTATAAATCAGATGAAAATAGCTAAAACATCAATGACTTGTGCAAACACGGTTTATAGAGTTTTATTTTCTTCTATAATAAAGAGAGACAAACAAATCTCCAGAGAATTCTGAAATGCTTTTAATTATTAAAACGGTGTTTAAAGAGACTCAACTGAACTTTTTTGTCATGACCGGGCTGTAAATATCCTTTTGAGATCATTACTCTACAAGATCTCTACTAATAACTTGTGTGAGAAATTTCAGATCATTTACTCTTTCCGTTTTTTCCATTATAACTGTTATAACAAGAGCCATGTCAACATGGCCATCTCCCGAATGTGTTTGCTCATTGGAAAAATGTATATGTAGTAGAGCAGAATAATTCCATTTTAAGAGGTCTTTTGATAATGAAAACTGATGAAAACTGATGGCTATAGTGATTACAGATTTGAAACCTATGTGAATACTGATGGCTGAAAATAACAAAGGGCAATAACTGAAAAATAATGCAGGGTAGGTTATCATTCTTGTGTGCTGCATCCCTCCTCAGTAAAATCTATCCACCTATGAAGTTTCAAGTTGATACCTTAAATACTTTTTGAGAAAAAAATTGAATTGAAAAATTAAGTATGAAAAATAACAAAAGGCAATACTTCAAAAATTATAAAAGGTAGAGTTATCATTCTTGTGCACTGCACACCTCCTGAATTAGATCTATGCACCTATGAAGTTTCATAATGATATCTCAAAGGCCTTTTGAGTTATGCGCTGGACAAAAATTAATTTTGAAAAATAACAAAGGGCAATAACTCAAAAATTATGCAGGGTAGAGTTATCATTCTTGTGAACTGTACTCCTCCTCAATGAGATCCATCCACATATGAAGTTTCCAGTTAATCCTCAAATACTTTTTGAGATAAGCTCTGGACAAAATAGCATGAAAAAGAACAAAGGGCAATAACTCAAAAATTGTATAGGGAAGTGTTATCATTCTTGCGCACAACATTTCTCCTCAATAAGATCTATCCACCTATGACATTTCATTTTGATATCTCAAACACTTTTTGAGTTATGCCTCACTCAGGTGAAAAATTAAGTAAGAAAAATAACAAATGGCAATAACTCAAAAATTATGAAAGGTAGAGTTATCATTCTTGTGCACTGTACACCTCCTGAATTAGATCTATGCACCTATAAAGTTTCATGTTGATATCTCATAGGCTTTTGGAGTTATGCTCTGGACAAAAATCAATTTTGAAAAATAACAAAGGTCAATAACTCAAAAATTATGCAGGATAGAGTTATCATTCTTGTGCACTGCACTCCTCCTCAATGAGGTCTACCCACCTATGAAGTTTCAAGTTGATAACTCAAATTCATTTAGAGATATGCTCCGGACAAAAATGTCAGACGGAAGGACGGACGGAAAGACGGAAGGTCGGACGGACGGACGGAGACTATTTCTATATCCCCCGCCGAAAAGTTTTCGGCGGGGGATAATAATAGTGAAAAATGAACCTAAATTGATAAGCGTTTAA